TGTATCACTAGAATGTCTATCTCCACAATACTCACATGTCACAAAAGGACTCTGAATAGCATGAGCACCTAGAGCATCAATTTTCTTAATGATAGTAGCCAATTGTGCAGTTAAGGCATTAATTGCATCAAGGTCATGAACATTAGCAGCTTTCCTTGGACTTTATCTTTCAGATGGCCATTGATAATTGTTGAAAGCTATCTCCTTTAACAAGTCATAAGCCTTATCAATGGATTTACTCATAAGTGCACCTCAAACTACAACATCAATGGTGGTTCTAATTGGTTTCAGTAAACCTAGAAAATCTAAACTTACAACCATTTAGGTAAACCACGGTGAGGACATCTCCTGAGCAAATCCTAATACTTCTCCCAAGCCTCATATAGTTATTCATAATCAAATTAGTTAAAGAAGGTGATATCATTCCACATCTTACCTGTCTTAATTGGTGGAGAGAACTTAGCAAAGAATTTCTAAACCAAATCATCCTAAGTACTAATTAAACTAGTTGGAAGCAAATTTAACCAATTCTTTACTCTGTCTCTTAGTGAAAATGGGAAAAGCTTCAATTTAATGGCATCATTAGAAATACCATTGGTCTTGAATGTATTGCAAATCTCCAAGAAATTCACAATATGTGCATTAGGATCATCATTCAGCAATCCCCTAAATTGAACTAAAGTTTAAATCATTTGAATGATTGTTGGCTTAATCTCAAAGTTATTGACTTGTATGGTAGGTCTACAAATGCTAGAATGAAGGTCTTGAATGAGAGGGACAACATATTCGCAAGGACTTGTTGTCTTCTTGTTGATTAGCCATTGTTTTGAATTGAGTTAAAGCTTGTGAATTTTCTTTTTGAAGTTTTTGAAGAGTTTTTTTTATTTTTGGATAAAAAAGAACAATCTCCAAACTTCTTCCTTTTCGCATACAACGACCAAAAGTACTTGGAAACAAAGAAAAAGAAATGTTTGAATTAAGATTGAGATTGCTTGGTATTAATATTAACAAAGAAAATTTGGCACAACTCCTCGGCAACAACACCAAAAACTTATTGTAAAATTTACCACGCAAGTGCACATATTGTTAACAAGTAATATAATGAGAAGTAAAGTTCGTTCCTACTAAGAATTGTGCAAATCATTTGCTAATTACTAAAATTAAAGCAACTCAATCTTATCCAAGCAACCAAATTTTAAAACTATTGAAAATTAAAGAAACTAAAAGTAAAAGTAAAAGTAAAAATATTAATTTAACTAATTAATCAATCAACCGAAAATCTAAATCCACAATATCCCTTCAATGTTTCATCGGAATCTCTTCTATTCCCTTTTTACTTACTAAATAAGCTTGAGTTGTTAATCTAGAATTCTAATTTGTTTATAAGTCTCTTCTGATGGTCTTATAAAAATATCTTCTTTAACCAATTTACTATATTCCTATACAAATTGAAATCAAGAAAGACTTGTTAAGCTTAGACTTTAATTATGGCTACATATGACATGTGAGTGTATTCCTATTGTACATGCAATCATCTCATGCAATTGATATTTGAGCATATGCTATTTCATCTATAGCTTACTCTAAACTCCCTCTTCTAGTTTTGTTTAGATTTTTGAATCAATCTAATTGGTGGCCAATCAATCAGATGTATTAAAAACAAGATTGAAAGAAACAACTAAAACACTATCAATCAAAAGCAAGAAAGCATTAAAAATTCAAACAATGCATTGGGTTTAATTGCAATTATAGATTAAAAAATTTTGTTCCACATAACTACTAAAAATATCGTCCAAAAAAGAAATTTAACCATTAAAACTAAACAAAGAAAGTATAAAGAAAACATGAAAAGAAAGAACTCCAATATTTATCAACTCTTCAACCCATAATCTTTCCTGCTAGCTTGAATGCCTCTTGTTCTTTAGAAAAACTTTACTTAATTGTTGCTTTATCATGCTTCAAAAAGGTCACTTAAATAGGCTTTAAGACTGAGTTAAAATAAAAGTCAAAAGGCACATAAATTCCTACTTCTCTTTGGGCGCCACGAGTCCTTGTTTTATTTTCTCCTTTTTTTTTTTTGTAGTTTCCTTGTCATGGCTGCTGCCATGGGCAGGCTTTGGCTGTGAACACGAGCCTCTTGGACTCCTGAAGCATCTTTAAGCAATCAGGGAACCACGGCCATGAAGTGGTGAAGGCCGGGGCCACCAAATGTGTACTTTGAATTTTTAGGCTCTACTGCACTACTTTAAATTTCAACTTGATTTTCTCATGATTTAATACTGAATTGGGAAAAGTGATAAATATAAACATTGTAGCTCTACCTCTTTATCTTTCCAATGATTTAAGAATCATGTCATTTGGACTTCTGTAGTGGGACATATTGGGAGATATGCTAGAAATACAGTAACATATATGGTAGAAGTCTGCATCTAGAATGCACTCTCTTACTTCAATTAAAAGTCCTTTAACATAACACACCTATAAAAGCACAATTTAATCAATAGCAGTCATACTTAAACAAATCAATAACTAACTTAGCTTAAAATAATCTAAATTCAATTGACCCAACATAATTTACTTAAATTAAAATAAATAGCTAAAAGCACTTAAAAATCTAAGATAAAACTCAAGAACATAGCAAATTATTAACCAAAATTTAGATCAAATAACTCTATATCATAGAGTTATCACTCATCAACAAGAGAATAGCTTTTACATGTTAATGAGGGTTCAAAATATTTTTAGTGTAAACTGAAATTCCCATTGTGTAAAACATGCCATTTTGCAAAACAAAAGAAGTTTGGTCCTTCAATAGCACGGTAATTAGCGGGACATGTCTCAATGGTTGCAGAGTAAGTTATGCCTTTTTGTAGCCAAGCTGTCACAATTAAGAGCTAAAACCTTCCTTTTAACAGACAAAGCTGTATTATGATCTCATTATACTGTACATGAAGATCAGAGGATGCATTTTCCTATATGTCTTAATCATGTCCTTTTAATCTTGCTAGTTTTGACAATTTCAATCCATCTTGTGCACAAGTAACTTTCCAAACAATATAACATCCTTTTCTAACCATATAATATCCTTTTCTGATTCTTATGGGCATTCTAGTGATATCTGGACTCTCATTCAGGGTGATTGTATGAAAAATGTTGATGTGGTTGATGTTGAGTACATAGTTCATTTGGGTCTTTCGACACTTGGTGTTATTACTGAATATAAGGTAAGTCTATATCAAATCCATGTAAATGTTACTAGTAAGTCTCTGACTGTCTGTCATTTTTCATGGTGATGTGGTTAAATTCTACACAAGTTAACATTACTTAGAGGGAATAATTCTCCAACTCGAAAACATTAGTATGTTTTTTCTGAACTTGAATTTGCCTGAGTGCCTCTTAATCATTTAAAACAATACTCACCTTCTTTAAAATTGCAGGCACCATCTGAATCTCATAGAGTTGACAATAGACTTGAAGTTGTTTAACGAATTCCATTTTATCCATTTTATGAGTTGTTTAACGAATTCCATTGTATCTTATCGTTCTGTATAGACACATGCATATACATATGTATGCAACCATTTTAAATTCCAACATGCTTGTAGGTGAGAAGACAATCCTTCTTTGAAATGCATATGTTCCACAAAAGATAGGAAAATGCTGCCAAGGAGGACAAAATGTTGGATTGATCCTTACCAACAATCGGTTAACAAAGGCACCCACTAATTATTTCTACAGCTTTTGTCAATACTCAACTCCTTTCATGCAACTCCAAGTAACTTCATACATTCATGTAATATTTTTTGTAAAGTAAAGGAGTGTGAATTTGTGAGAGGTAACTGAGGTCAGTAGGCATAAAGCTTCATCCATGAAATCACTTCATCCATGAAATCACTAACTTTGGAACACAGCAACTAAAGGGGTAAGTGAAGAAGCCTTTTTGTTATCGGATGTAAGAGCTCCATTAAGTTTTGATTTTATTTTATTTTATTTTTGCTTGTAATATTGGTTTTGGTTGCTATTTATTATTCATTGACTGAGAATGTAAATATGTTCTGTTGATGAGAAATGTTGTATTGTTTTGCAATTGTATTCTGCAAAGTTTTTTCATGCATTTTCTTATTTTACAACATTATTTTAAATGGAGTATTGTTTATCATATATATTTGAAATTTGGTAAAACTTTAAAAAAAATTAGATTTTCTTATAACATGTAATTGGATATATTATTTTAGATATATCATAAAATCTGAATGTTTGTGTATGCTGATATTTAACTAGGTAAGGCTTGGAGTACTACTCAAAATGAAGTTATTGCCATATTCACACTTTTTTTCCTTTTTTTTCCCAATCAAAATATATAGTATTAATTTAAAATATATTTTCTCCCAAATTATTTTAAAAAGGAAAGATTAATTACAAAAAAAAAAAAGAAAACATTGGATGATGTAACTTAATTATAAAGTATTCTCATTTTTTAAATAAACATATATATTCCCAAAATAAAGTGTGATTTCCAATAATATGTCCGTACACAGTTTAGGAAGTATAAAAAGATAAAAGCCGTCATCTACAGGTTTTGAGAAGTTTGATTCTCTAATTGAATTGAAAATTGCTATAAAATCCACATTTGTTTTGATAGGGTCATTAGCCTTGCAATTGGCATTCTAGAATGTGCTCTTAGTCGAACATTAATTATACTTGTCTATCTTCAATGGCAGACTATTCTTTTCTTCTTGCATTTTCAAAGTGGATTATTTATTATGCCTCCCACTTTTGTTTTTTCTTACAACAACATTAAAAAAACTAAACATAATTGGGTAGCGGACACGTGATGAGGATCGGGGCAACCCGGGGATTCCAGGTTGGATCCAGTGATCGCTTTAACCCGAAAACCAAAGAAAACGGATCAAAATCCGTTACTGGGTCCATCTGGAAATGCGATCCATGGAGCTGCCGTGGCTAGTGACCTTGCTTTCCCCAGCCTTCCAAGTAATTTCGTTTCACCGAACAGAAAAATCAATCAAATCCCCCAGTCAAACCGCAACCTCAAAGGGAGTTTTAGTCCTTTTAAAATACGCGGCACCTTTATTTTTGCTTTCTTCATAATTTTCCAAATTCTCTCTTCCTTGAATTCGAACAAGTTCTGCTCCTGAGATCGGCAATCAGAAGCCAAAACCGAAAAAAATAAAATAAAATAAATAAATAAAACAAACAGAATGGCCAAGGCGGAGCAGCCGGTGGTTGGAGTTCCATACTTTGTGGGGATGAATCCGTACCAGGCGGGAATGGTACCGCCCAACGCCGTATACGGTGATCCAAAGGGAATTCCGATTCAGCAAACCATGTATCGAGATACTCCTGCTCCCTTTAACTGCCCTTTCTGTGGTAATTCCGGACTCACCGTCGTCAGGTATTTACCTTTAACCCCCTTCCTTGCTTTTTATTCCTTACCTATACCTACGATCCGCTCTCTTCAAATTAGGAAACTTTGTGTTGATTGATATGAGGATCTTGTCGGTAATCTCTCTGTTGGACTCTATGGTATGCGCCCTAAAAAAAGGGAAAGAAACTTTTGGGTTTTGGTCTTGCAGTGTCAATTGAATGATTGTTTTGCATCTAGTTGCTTGGGCACATCGAAATGCTAATATCTTTCTTATGATTTAATAATTTAATTCTACTGTTTTGGTGCTGTCGAGTTTTCTTGCTCATCATGCGTCTGTGTCTGTTTCTGGGAGTGTTTAACTGATAGCCTTGTTTATGCATATTGTGAGGACCAATTCTAATGAGAAGAACTTTCTCTTGACTTCCGATCTTAGTTCTGAATTAGTGCAAGTTGTTGTGTATAACTCGATGCAATGGCTTGTTCTTCCGTTATTCCTTCTTGGGGTATGGTGGACCATTTAATGTAATGTGATTATAATTATTTTACTGTGTTCATTAAACTTTGAATTTCATGTGCAAATTCAGATCTAAACCTAGTCTGGCAGCTGTTGTTGGTTGCATGATGCCCTTTATGCTCGGAATCTGCTTCCTTTGCCCTTCAATGGACTGCCTTTGGCATAAGTATCATTATTGCCCAAAATGCACTGAAAAGGTCAGTCTAATTTGTTTTCTTTCTTTTTTTTTTAAAAAAAAAAAACTACTCTTTTTTTTTGGGTACATATGGAAGTAAATTAAATTGAGCTATACAAAAGAAGGTAGCTTGCACCCATGTTGTTGACTCGACCTCTTCTCCCCAAGATCACACCTGATCCTCCAAGTTAAATTTTCCAAATCCTTAATGGGTGAGGAGTTGCCGTGGGGGCTTTACCCACTCAATCATTTTACGCCTTCATTTTAATCATTTTCTTTCTTTGCTGGTTTTCTTGCAGGTTTCTAGTTTTGAGAAATCAGATCCATGTGCAGTGGTGGATATGCCCCAGTGGAAGCAGGAGAGTTTTGCTGTGCCTGCATGATATGTCGAGTAAAAGCATTTTGCTTTTGTGTTTAATGCTTTCTATTTTTGCTTTGCTGAAAACTATTGTCTATACTAGAAACCATGAACAAAAGGTATTAGTGCATATATCTTGAAATGGTATTTAGACTAAGCTCTACTCTATATGTTGTCATACTGCATGTTTGCAGTATTAGACTCAGTTGCAACCCTGTTGTGAATAATTTTTCCCATAATACAACAATACAATTGTTATGTAAACATAGATGATGCTTCTGAGCCTTTCACGTTCCTCCTTCTCTGGAGTCTAAGAGAAACCTTGTAGACGGATAGATGGTTGACGATATTTACTCCTATCTTCTGCCTAAAACCCGCGGATATATATATATATATTTATTTATATATATATATGTTCCTTGGATTTTCATTTTGGTCAGTATATTCCTCTCATTTTTAAGTTTTCAGGAAATGGTAGCACATTTGTTATATGGACAATGGTGGGTCAAATGACCCACTGAGCTTGATACAATCTAATTATGTCCTGCTTAGTCCAAAACCAGGCTGATGAGCTGTATTATATTTTCCTTTCGAGAGTGATTATATTAGTTTGGTTCAGCTTATTCATAATTGAGGAACTGAATATTGCCTTGTTATTCTGTGTTGGTCTTCAAACATGACCATTTACTCAGACGACTGAAATCCAAATTTCTAAGCTTGCTCTGACTGGGGCACTTGCTTGGTGCATTAGCAAAGGTTGTTTTGTTTAGCAATTTGCGCAATTTGCTAGTGTCCTCATTCATGGTATCATATGATTGAATTTGCTGTCATAGTATTCCTATAGTATGGTAACAGTAACTACTTGGAAAAATCTGTTCTGGTTGTTCACGCAAGAGTGCAGTATGACTGGAATAGGTTGTTTTCCCAATCTTTTTAGTGCATAGAAGGATTATTTAAATAGCGGACCATCTATAACCCTATTGGTCGGCATGCTTTCTTCGATGACTGCATCGATATGCATCTGGGAAAAAGCTCAACAAATATCAAATAAGAGTTTCAGTATTTAGATCAAGCCTGAAATGACTGATATACTTGGTTTGAAAGCTGAAGATTCTTTTCCTTGTTGCGAATACAAATTTATCAATGGCATAGCCTTGCTTGTCAAGAGTAATCTAATAATTTACACCAGAAGGGATGGTAAAATGGGCACAAGGAATATGCTCATTGATTTGTAGTTGTACCGGTGACATTCAGATGTAATGTTTACAACGAATCTTGATTTACGGTTCAATGCTCTTCTTAGGGTTTAATGGTGGAAATGAAACGACCACCGAATGCAGTACATAATTATTCTTTCACGTAGTGATATTGAAAAAGGAAAAAAAATTCTCAGTTATCGATAAGAATGTTAACCTCTTGCACAAGATACTTTTATCCGATTGGCTTCATTGTCAAAGAAACTAAACCTCCCTGGCTTAGGGTACGAACTTCATCTCCGCCCTTATACTAGACTTCTCAGCGGCATTATTCTTCCAATTTCTAGAAGGGCATAAGGATTATGCTACTAGGGTGCATGACTTTCAAGTTCAGGTGATGATTATCTGGCTTGTGTCAGTGACAAAGAGTGAACATCATTCCACTGAAAGTGATATATATATATATATATATATATATGCAGTACTGTTCCTATAATAACACATTTGTTATCTGCCTTGTGTTACTTCAGATTCCACCGATGACAAGCTGCTTGCCTTATGCATGCGACCAATGCCAATTAGGAGGGCATCAAACCCTTGCATGCTTTAGTCTCCAGTTACGTGCCAAAGAGAAGTACAGAATATAAATGCAGATCATTTACCTCCACAAGTATCAGTCTCTTGCGATAGCTTATTCAGGGTCACAAAGTTGGGCCTCCTTGACCAGCAGCGGAAGAAGAGAAAGTCCAGCATGAATGATAGGAGCCTGTCTCGTTAGCCAAGGAGACTGCCTGTGTACCACTCAAGGATTCAAGAGCCTTTTGTCACTTTTCATGATCATGTGCAGTACTTGTTACTCACCAATCATGAGTTGGCCTTCTTGATCCCAGAAGAGAGTCAGTCGTCCCTCCTTTGCTATTGGCATTTCAGTTTTTAGAACTCCTGCCAGGCCCCAGGCAAGTCATCCTTGGCTACAAAACGAAGACTCCAGTCTTCATGTAGGACCTCCCTTCCTCATGAGATCTTGTTTCTCCAATGGGATGGGACGCCTCAACGCAATGCTCTGTGGCCTCTATTTATAGCCAATGACGAGGCTCTGGACAGTAGATTCAGATCATCTCGGAAAATTAGCACCTCCATCATTTTTGCATGATCCAATCAATCTAGGTTCCTGTCATGGAATATATTCGGCTTTTTGCATGGCCCAGAGTATGCCACCCATCTTCAGCAAATGCTCTGCTTGACGATAATCGAATTTTCAAACTCCAAAAAACACTCGTACTAGATTAGAAAACTAAATCACCACTCTCATTCGTTGTATTATTGCCCACTACTCTTGACTCTTGGCGATTTCCATGGGGTTATGGGAAGTGGGTTTATTCCATTCTATGTCTTTTGTTTTTTGCATTATTAATATTACCATTTTTGAAACCCATTCTCTCTGAACCACTACAGCGTTAAATTTCAACAAAAACTACTGCAGCGTTTTCCTTTAGAATTCTGTTTTCACTTTTATATTTCTTCCAATGGTACTGTTTTTCAGGTTCTCTCAGTATTCGTGGATAATAATCGTTTTGACTTTAATTTGCTTGACACTTAGAAGGGAAGGGCGACAGAGTAGAACAAAATCTTTAAAGCAATTTCTGATTTCTGGTCAAGTTGGCTTTGCACTCATTAATGGAAAGCCTAATGAGGTCACACCTCTTCCATCCTTTTCCTCCTCCTCCTCCGCTTTTATCATCTCGTTATTCCAATGCCAGCATCAACCCAACCCCAGGCCAAATCTCCACCGACGACTCTGCCATTAGTCAATTCTTCAACCTTTACCAACTGAAAAACATGAGAGGCACCTCCTTTGCAGGGTTCCTTTAAAGGGCCACTTGTCATTTTGCAATTACAGTTGACGATTATGTTATTCTCTTTGACTTGTGTGATTTGGAGGTCTCAATTAAGGAACGTCAAACCCTTATACCAAGCTTCTTCAATAAAGATCGAACATTGGCGTGCATGTGTTTTTATACTTTTTCTCGTCTTTTCCTTGGAATCAGAGGAAAAGTTCATTACATGGGAGAGGAGAGGTGGATGTGTCAACCATACGTCTCACTTAGCATTTTTAGGTCCGCTTGATGAATCCTTCTTTACGGTCATATATAGCATTTCGAATTATTCCTTGGGTTTTGTTGTTCCCCAGTTTCGCCTGCGCTGAAACAGTCATGGAATTCTTTTGTTGAGCTCTGGAATTTTGACGCATTAACCGTTTTGGGAAGGTAGAGACACCCTTCCAAGTCTTTATTCTATAGTGCAATTGGATTTTTATGTAAATGATTATTATCAAGCCAAATGGTATTCAGGAATATGTTCATCGCTGGAAGCCTGGAAAGTATTTTCCTTCACACTTTTAGCATAAGAAGCTCAGTGAAAGATGGTTTATTAGTTTTCTTCTAACGCCTTGTATTGTTTCTTATAGTTAGCGAAGACTCCTCTTTACTGTAATCTCTGTTATATTTTCTTGGAACTTAAACTATCCATTGTGATACAGAAAAAGAAAAAAAGGTTACTCAAACTAGGCAGTAAACATTTGATGCTCAGAAAAGAGAAAAAAGGCTTTTGAAACTGAGTTTGATTTGCTTTTCAGTTCAAGTCGTCCCATGAACATTGCTTCCCTTTTGTGTACGTAAATATGGAATCCGCTTCAAAGGTTTTGATGATTTGGTCATGAACAAATTCACTTCTTCATAGCTTGAAACTTGCAACTTTCGAGAAATTTTGAGTCTTCAAAGTTTTCTTCTTCTTCTACCCGATGTGTCAAATTGTTTGGAAGCACCGTATCTATAGTGCTAAATGAGCGACTTCCATGAAAACTTGGTCTCTTTGATTTTATTTTTAATTTTTATTAAATTTAATAAAGATACCAAATTTTGTGTCTTTAAATTTTAATTAGTCGAATTTGAGTTTTATCTCTAAACTATCTTAATTTATTTAAAAATAAATTAGATGACTCAAGTGAATTTAAATTGGTCTAATTTATTATCTGTAAATTATCTCAATTTATTTAAAGATAAAATAGGGTGAATCTAATTGATCAAACTATGTCTTCTTGAGATAATTAGTCAAGAAATTATTTATTTTGCAATTAATTATATGGCTAGCTTAAATGGTCTCGTCAAGTTCATATAGTGATGCATGTTTCATTCCTGAAAAATTCTTCAATTTATTAATTCTAAAAGACATGTGACACATTGCAATTGGATAAAAGTTTTCACCTTCTATAATTTTGAACGTGACAAATGAATAAGTCTTAAAATTCAATTTTGCTCTCGCACCATATTTGCTTGCATTCCCGACTTGAGAACTTTCGCATATACACAAAAATTGTTGTCAATGTTGGACATTTTCAACAATAGTAATGGAAAAATGAAAGAAAGAAAGCCATATTTGTTCAAGAGTTATGCTCAAATAATTATGTTTATCATAACGTATGAGTCTCTAAACTCAACCGTTCGAGAGACACCATTAATTTTTTTTGTTTAGGTGTGATTGGTTATCTAAGTGAATTCATATTTTTTTATGAAGTTCTAAGCTTGACTTTGATTCATCTAAAAAGGATAGGTTTCAGTTTACAAAATAAGCTAATTAGTTCAAAAATACAATTATGTGTAAGGAAGGTATTAATAACTCACAATGCTTACTCAACGTGATACCTAATTAATTATATGTTATACTTTTAGCCTTAATAATAAACTTTATTTTAATATTTTAATTTTTTTCCTTAACTATTCTTCCAATTTATTATATTTTTATATAAATAAAAACTCTTCAATATTGAAACTTCTCCTAACTTCTCCAATCTTTTTGGTAGAATTTAAGAAAATTTCCTTAATTAGAAATTTTCAAGAAAATTTCCTTAGAAATTTTCAAGAAAATTTCCTTAGAAATTTTCAAGAAAATTATCCCTTCTAACATTCTTGAAATTCTGAGAATTTTTATGTACTCACTTATTTTTTTTATTTATTTATATTAAAATTATCTTATTAATTTCAAATTTATTTTTTTATTTTAAAATCAAAATCTGAAATTTCTCTTAATTCTCCAACCCAT